ACATTTTGAGATTAATTTTGAAAGAAATGAAAGAAAAGAATTGAATTAGGAAATTATCGAAGTGTACCATAATTATAATATGAATAATACATATTACGGATAAAATAAATGAATATATTTTTTTCACTTAATTCTGGCAAATATTTTTTTTAAATTTAATTTGTTGAGAAAACAGAGCAGCCGATTTGAATTATTTAAAAACATTCAATTTGTATTGATGACGTGGGGATTAGTTTTTGGAATAGACAGGCCCAGTCGTTTAAATAATTTATATATAGGTATTTAAATGATTAGAGTGTAATTTAAAATAAATTGTTTAAAATATATCTCTCGAAATCAAACGCATTTAGAGTAGAATAAAATTTTAACAACCTTTCACTACATATAAACTGATTGTAAATCAGACATGTAGATAGCAATTATATACAAAAAAAGTTTTGTATATTATTATTTAATACAGCAGTTTCCAACCCTTTTTGCATCGCGCCCCCCTACTCTATTAAAAAAAATGTTGTGCCTTAATGTTTTTAACTGTTTAATTTTATAAATACTCAACTGATTATCAGACTACAAATTAAGGGGGTCTTCCTATGTGATGGGTTGAAAAAATCGATTTTTCATTTCGATTTTTAACATATTAACATTTTTTTTTTAAATTAAAAATTTTTAAATCGATATCTCAAATAGTTTTTGAGTTACAGCCATTTAAAAAGTATACATATAGTATATAGTACAATGATCATTTTATCTTTAAACGCGTTTTTCTCAAAACTGTGTTTTTCAAACTTTCCTCCATTGTATCTTAGAAACGGCTGGACCGAATTACTTGAAATTTACAGGGCACACTCAATATATTTAAACGCATGGAAACTTCGATTTTTTTATAGCAAAAAACAAAAAAAAACGCCTAATTTGCAACTTTTATTTCAAATGTCTATCAAAAATCCATTTTTTCTATATTCATTTGATTATCCGGTCATTCCGTTTAAGCCTACAAATTAAAACGCAGTTTTTTTTTTTTTCAGATAAGCCGATCAGCCGGAATCGTGGAGGAAGTGGGAGCTCTTTTTTTCGAGGCGGGGGTGTTCAGAGCGCTGTAACTCTAGTTTGACTGAATATTTTTAGCTGAAATTTTATATTTATACTGTCCAAATATGTGTTAATAAATGATAAAAAAAACTTGAAGCTCTAAATATTTACTGGTCGTAGAAAAAAAATCCTAAAATATCCCTAAAAATGGGCCGTCACATAGGAAGACCCCCTTAATATGCAATATTATGTAAAAATATTCATAAAAACTAATTGTTTTTTGTTGACTTTTTAATAACGTTCAAAAAATGTTGAGCTATTTTTGATAATGGTTTTCTGGAAACAGATGTACGTGCCCCCCCCCCCCCCCGAGGGGGCAGGTTGCAAACAAAAGCGAAGCAAAGGTCAATTAACAGTAAATGCCAAAACAATCAAATTAAACAAAAGAATTTATATACTTTAAGTAATAAAACTAAGATGAACTCATAAGATAGTTCTTTACTTAATAATGAATATTATAATGTTAATACAACATAATGACGTTTAAAGCCGTGGTTTCCAACCTATGAGGCGCGAGCCCTTCAGGGCATATAGCTATTTTAGAAACACCATTATAAAAAGTAAACTAAAAAATTTGAAATATTAAATAAATTCTACACTTATACATAATTGTACTTTTTTATTCATGTATACAGCAATCAAAACAGTAATTACATTCTATGAGATACTATGCTAAGAAGTATAAAGTAAAAATTAAAAAAACATTATAACAACGTAATAATAATAAATAAAAACAAAAAAAAAATACAATAAATTAACTTTCATATTTATATGAATTATAAAAATTGTAGAAAATAAAATAAAAATTAATTTGTAGTCTAAAAAATTATAAGACCAGTTGAGTATTCATGAAATTAAAATATTAGGGGTTTCCTAACCTTCTTTTAATAAGAGTGGGAGGCGCGATGCAAAAAGGAAACCACTGGTTTAAAGTCTACCAAATTATAGTCACAACTAAATTTTCTCCACAAATATTTGCTATATTAAATTTTAATATAAATAAACACATGTAACTTTATTATGAGTATCTACTGTTTAAAGAATAATATTTTTATGATATGACAAAAAACGTACATTTCTTTGAAAATTTTATACAAACACTTTGTGTTGAATATAGCAATTACGTTCCGTTCAAATGATTAAAAACGTGTTTCGCAAAATAAATAGATACCCATAAAATTCGAGCACTGGCACTGTGTACGGCAATAAAAACCAGGGATTAAATATACCTTTACATTATATTACTATACAGTTGAAAATTCTATAACAATAACATTTCATTCTTATGAATGAAACGTTTGTAATTTTTAATAAACAACAATTAAATATTTTAATAATTACTCGCAATTTCAGTACTTACAATTCCGTTCAAATTATTAAAAACGGGTTTCATAAATAAATAGATACGCATAAAATTTCTTTCTGTTTATAAAGACGTTTGTAATTTTTAATGATTAATAATTTAATTTTAATTTAGTTTTTAATATTCAATATTGCTATATTGAAAAATGATTGCGTGTTGAAATGGTCAATTAATAATATATTCAAAGTATAGTTTAATAATAAATTAAACTATGAACATAAAATACAGTACAATGCGAGGGGACATATACAGCATATTGCAGTACAATGTGTAATGAAAAAATTAAAACTCCAAGAAAAGTATAAAAGCTTAGTTACAAATACACAATGATATCAATATCTAGTTAATTAAATGATTATTTTTGTAGAAATAATTGCACTATAACTAATTAGTGAAATCTACAAATGAAAAAAAATTGTCAGAATGCTTCAAATAAATTTTAGTAAAATCAAATATGTCGTATCGAAACGTGGTTATGCCTAGAGAAATAAAATACTGCATGCATGTATATTAATACCACGTTAATACAATGACGAATGAAAGCATGTTGCTTCCATATGATGTACAATATCAAATGATGAATGCGTATGTCGCTACGCTTTGTCCATTTAGAAATCTTAATAAATGAAATCGTAGCGTCACACACAAACACCATCGAAGCCAGAATAAAGAATGAAAAAAGTAACCGAACGGCCTTGTTGGATAGCTCACCTTGCAACAACGTCAATTTAATGATCAGATGATTGTAGGTGTATCACCTGCTGAATTTATCTTAAGGGTCGCTTAACAAATTCGTTTATAACACCTTTTACAAACTATTCGTAACGCACAATAAATTAACTCGAATACAGAATTCAATCAGAAAAGGTTCCGTGAACGTATTTACTGATATTTGAGAGTCGATTTGATTCATAACTATGAACTTGTCTACAACTAATCATTTATTTACAGTACCATATGCATTACCAATATTTACTAGCTACATTCATTATGCACATAAAAATTAATTTTTAATATAGGTTCAGAGATCAATTAAGAGAAATTTTAGAAAAGCATCGTCTTATGCGAGGATGGAAAAAATAATAAATTTACACGATAGATATAATTAAGTGAAATAAATATGAGTATTTAAAAAAATACGATCATGAAAAAAATAATATTTAAAAAACGTCTAGTTTATGATTCATGCATATACCTACTTTTGTATAAACTTAACTACTAATCCAAATCGCGTCGTAGTGTCAGCTTACTGGTATATCCCTACACAGAGATTTTTGTCCACGGATGGCATTAAACATAATTTAAAAAAACGCCATACAATTTTTATGCACACTAACCACTTTTTTAACAATAGAAACTATCATTTCAATAACGGTAAATAAAAAAATATCTTTGTACTTTGCGCCACGGACACACAGACATAAAATTATTAATATGAACTGTCGATTGTACGTACAAGGGGCGATCGACAACTAAAAACAATTGCTCAATGGGTTCTGCCAGACTTCAGTGCATGAGTAATAACCACCATTTATCGAACTACTATTAATTGAAAAATATAAAGTAAAAAACGGGAAACACTACACAAAATTCACTCGCAGAATGCGAAGTCACTGCACTATTCAGAATCACTCATCAATCTTAATTTACACAGCGACGATGAGCAAGAGCAACAACGACGGAAAATGACTCGACTAAACACAGACAAGTGCTACCACCACGACGGAACGAGCTACACTCAAAAACTCTGTCAATGTAGACACCTTTGAAACAACCATTGGTGTTGCCAGGCTAGCAAATCTAGGTCACAAGTTCTTCGACTCATAGAAAAAGAACTCGAACAAAATAAAATAATTCTTCTTTTATAGATATTTTATGTTAAAATATGTTTACTGCACATCAAAAACAGAATTAATATTTTTAAATATTTATCATTTTTTATTTATGATGAATTGCTTTTTAGTATTTTTCAATAATATGTTATAATATCGAATCTTTTATAATATGTATAAGATCAACCTTTTGGGTACTTACCAATTCATCAATGCAAGTTGTCATCTAGTTCTCAATACAGAACAATCAATAGAACATTATTAATACATTATCTTGTAATGCATATAAAACATAGTTGTACATCCATATGTTATAAATATTATATACTTTCATTTTCATGCACACAATCGAAACTGTAGAAATAAAAATTGATCTATCGTCTAAAATAATCTTGAAATACAAACTCCTATCCAATATAATGGTTCCAAATTATTTTTGGTACAAAAATAAAGAACGCAACAAAAAATATTTTTGTTATGTTTGAAGATCCACAAATATTACAATATACAACAATCAAACTAATTAAATAAAATTGATAAATAAATCATCATCTTACAAGAAACATCCACATTTAAAAATGTGTTTATTAACATAAATTCTATAATAATTTACATTTTTACAAATTATTTAATATAGTGTTAAATAGCGTATGTGAAATAAATATATAACCATTCATACTGTTTGTAGAGTATCTCAAACTGTAAAAACATCTCACAGTATCTCATATCTAATAATTTAGTCGTTTGTAGAATTTTATAAAATTTGTCGAAAACTATTGTAAAAATTTCTTATGTGAAGAAACAATACTCAACTTGTGATTTAAAAAGAGCCTTCATTCATCTATAATTGCATTAACCCCTACTTCTAATTTGTAAACTATTTAGGATATCACATGATGGAGTCTTTATTAGATTAGCTTTTTGATGAAGGGCAGGATCGCCAAAATTACGTGCTTTCCATATCATGGATTCTTCTAAAAAAAATAATAAATAATTATTGCAAAATATTCTAAAAAACTAATAGATATACTAGTAGATAAGAAATATCTTACTATAATTTTTTTCTCTGTGACAAGAATGCCGCATATTAACTATATATTCTTCTTCAACAGTAGCCTCAAGCCTTCGAATAGATCCTTGATAATCTGTGTGAAAATTTTCTTTCACATAATATGGTATCTTCAAAGACTCAGTCTTTCGATATACGACAAATTTCCTAAAATAGTGATAAATTTTATTGTATACATACTGCTTAAGCATTCATCAATTACCTCAAGTGCATGCATATATATATATATATATATATATATATATATATATATATATATATATATATATATAAATACTACTACTAATATATACATATATATAATTATTTAGGTTTATAAAATTTGATGTCAAAAAATAAGTATAAATCTTTAAGGCCTTAACTATTCTGTCTAATCTTAAGATGAAGAAATGATGTCAAAATTTAGCAACACCGGAAATGGTGTTTTGAATTGACACAAATAATATATCACATATAAATAATGAATTATGTTCTTTTATTAGACAAGTTGTATAAAGAATGATGTTTCTCGATTTATTGCAGACATGTGAACATGTGAATTATCCACTACACTATCTACAGAAAGAAAATTACAATGTTCTAGTTTAACAATTTTGCAAATCATTTTAAAGATAATGCTTGAAATACTGCTTTAGAATATAAAATTGTTGTTTTGCTCATTATTATTATAATTGTGAACTTCAATACATATTAAAATTAAATGATGTATTAATGTGTATATGTGATGTTTATAATAATGGCTAAACATAAAAAATGATAGTGATAAAATGTTTAACGTGATACTATTAATTATAAATACTTCACGAGCATGATGAATATATGTGTTATTCATATATAAATCATTATATGATGATACAGAAAAACATGGGGCGGATGTAAATAGTTTAAAGTAAGTGCCTTCAATAATGAGTCGATCATTTTCAGACATTGAAACGGTAGACAGCTTAATGCTTATCTTCAATGAATGAAACAAAGTCACTAATGGACTTTATCTAATTTTTTAAGTAAATAGCATTTTAAATATCTTAAATTACTTACTGTGTTTGTTGCAAGCTATAGATAGGGTCCGATATAAAAAAACTTGACATCATTGAAAGCATTATTAACAATAATATGGGTAACATCTGCAGAAATGCTGTATAACCATTTTGCTGTAAAAAATAAATAGATTATAATATACACACAAACACATATACACATATATATATATATATATATATATATATATATATATAAATTATGAATTAAGTTTTAAAGATTGCCATTCACATATAATCATCAGAAACTATTTCACACTCAAATTTGCTCTACATATTTAACTTATTTCGTAAATGCACATTTAGTGATTCTAATGATAACCAAGAGATACTAAATTAACCAAATAATTAAAAACATTAACAACCCAAATATCATACCTCTCGTTGCTGAGATCCGGATGCTTCTTGCCTTCTCCATCCATGTCCTCTACGTACATACATATTAGATTGTGGAAAACCACCACCAAAGAACATATTAAATAATTCCTCTGCAGTGACATCCGATTCGAAACCTCTTGTATAATTATACTCAGAATACCCATTTTGATTACTACGCTGACTCTTCACTCTCTGATCTTCTGCCCCATACATATCATATTGCATACGTTTCTTACTATCTGTCAAAACAGCAACTGCATTACCGATTGCCTTGAAAGCTTCAGCAGCACCCGGAGCATTGTTTTTATCTGGATGAAGCTGAAGGGCAAGTTTTTTGTAGGCTTTCTTGATATCAGCATCAGTTGCATCTTTACTTATACCCAACACCTCATAATAGTCTTTGCATTTTTTTATTCTTTGCACAGCTTCAATTTGATCTTGACTATATGTCAAATGTGTTGAAGAGGAAGTATTCGAAGATTTTTTTTCCTTGAAATCATTTGCGGTATTGTTAGTTGAGAAAGTTTGATTTTTATCTTTAATGGAGGCTAATAAATCTACAACAAATATTACCTGGAGTTAAATGCGTAATGGTGAGTTAATATTGACAACTAGCATTAGAAAGTTGGAGTGGAAGTACAAAGTAAATAATTACTGCAGACTTATGTAATTAACAAATGCAAAATAAATTTTTATTAGATAGACTTTATTAATTGTGTTCTCAAACCTTTTGCTCTTTGGCTAGAGTATAATCGTTCAGCTTTTTCTAGAAACTTTCGAGCTTTATCAAATTTTTTTTGCTCAATATTATTAATAGCAATTTCTATACACCTGTCAGCCTCATCCCGATTACTATCCATTTTAATAAACTAGTGTAAATGTTACTACCGCATAAATCCTAAAATATTCTGTCAAATTAAAGAAATAGTACATTTGAAAACTACTTAAATAACATAAAATATGATTGTGATAGATCGAAATTCTTCTACTAACTTCATATTGAATTGCTGATCAATGTTTACACGTCATGCGCTGAGTTGCCAGGTAACGTCAAAATGCAACATGGGCACTTCGAGCCGAGGAGCCGTTCACGCCAAATCAAATTAGTCAAATTAGAATGGTCCCGCTGGTCGCAAATGCGTTAAATTCATAATATTTGAGTTAATGAGTTACTCTTTGCCTCTCTAGCTGATACGATAATATAAACTACTGCAATTATATTTATTTAATTATTCCATATATTAATAGAATATTTTAGCAATGCTGTAATTGAATAAATGACAACCTTCAAGACAAAATATTAAAACAAAATTAAATTATTATAATTGACTTTAATTAGAGATCAACAATTATGTTAAATAATTATATGCATTATATATGTAACAATAAAAAACTATTAACCTACAAATAAAATTATTTGCAAATTTTTACTTATATAATATAATTAAAACAATTTATATTTTTAAATAGAGTTTTATATATAACGGTAATTAAGGAATATTGTTTTTATCATAATAATTACAGATCACATTTATCATTATATTTCTATAACATCACACACCCACATGATTTCAATATAAACATATATTTCAGCCAATTCTTAAAGAAGTTATTAAGATTTAAGACAAATTATTTCATATATCATTATTTGTTTCACGCACATATATAAAATTCACGGTTATGATAAATTTGTGTTAAGTCTTATTAACATGTACTTCTAACTGGCACTTTATTCATTATATAGTAATGATATAAAATTCTTCAAAATATTACACAATAATAATCTATATATCGCAGAGATTTATCAGGGCAAGTACTTATAACTTGTAAACTATTTCTCCATATATAACATGTGATTTGCTGAAGATTGGATACTTTAATGTAGTTTTAAGTGAATCGTTATGTTCCTCTAGGGAATTGTGTGCATAGTGTAAAACCAAAGCCTTCAAAGACTCATATATATTATAAGGTTCTGCAAAACCATATCCTCTTTCAGTGGCATATATAATGCAATGATTGACAACGTCATTGCACATTATGGATAATGCAAACAACCCTGTGCGGCTTGGTCTAACTAAAAATGTCCCATTTGGATGGTCTTTGAGAAGTCGTTCTGCATGTACTCTTGAACAATCCAATAATCTCCAAGTATTTTCATCTTGATGAGGCAATGAATCAACATCGGACCAGCAATCTTCTTCATTTGACCAAGCCTTCAGCCCTTCTTCGAGTAATTGTTTGATGCGGTTCTCTTTTATGCCACGTGATTTCAACCAACTAAAAAAGTAAAACAGTTTTATAAAAAAATATTATCTAAATCTAACCATCTGAATTCTGATAATTCAAATTATCTAAAGAGTATTATGCAAAAATTTAGAAATAAATATATGCAAAAATTGAAAAAAATCACTATAAACCAATAGGTATATACTTTTGATGTTTATCACGTTGCTTGTGGAGATTCAAAATATCAGGTTTCAAACAAGTCATTTCTCTATCTAATGTTCTGTGGTATGCAACTTGTTGCTGAACATCTTCTTGCAAATGACGTCTACTTTCCCGCAATGAAATTAATCGCTGTTTTAAAATGTCGAGATTTTCAACAAGACTTTTAATCTCATGTGGCTGTGCTTCCTTTTGAAAACGTTCTTGTAGTTTTATTTGATCCTCAAACATGTTAACTGCTTCTGTAAATGCTTCCAAAGCTTGTTTTTTAAGGTTTACCTGAAGAGATAATTATTATTATTTTATTTATGTGTAATTATATGCTGAAATAATTGAATGTCAAAAATAATTACTTCATGTGCAATTCTACTAAAATCTTCTGATAGGCCTTCAAACATCTTAGTTTTTGAAACATAATCATTATGGATATCAAGCAATTTGGTAGCTAACTTTGTTAAATCAGTTGTGGAAGCTGTCTCTTCTTCTTGATTAAAATGAGAAACTGGATATAGCAATTTAATATCTAATCCAGGATTGTATTGTGAAAGTGAAACATTTCTATAGAATTGAATGAGTTCAACAACTGATGAAAATGTAAATGGTTCTGAGAAACCATATTTTCCATTTCTGTGACAAATCCTAATTAATTTATTTGCACCATCTTTCTTCAATGTCAAGGTGTATTCCCCATTTTTATTTGAAGCATTTCGAACTAGAAAAGTGCCATCAGGTGTATCAGTTAATTTCTCCTTAACTTCATCTCTGAAAAATCAAAGACAATATGAATATCAAAATTTATATGTTATTTATTATTTCAGAATAGAAGACAGATTTACAGATTAATAAATTTACCTTGTAATGTCACCCCAGTACCATTCCGCGTCTAATAAAGATTGTGAAGAAGTAATAGAAGTAGATTCAGTTTCAGAAATGGTGAAGGGGTTTGTCCCAACTCTTGAAACTTTTCGAGGAGGAAGAGCAGGCGCAGAAGCAAATTCAGGCAACCTCTCACCCCAATCGCCATATAATAGAAGAAACTCCATTATGCGAATATGTGCCTCAGTATTGTAAACCACTTGTCTAAAAATTTAATGTACATATATAAATATTTATGGCAAAATTATTATATTACTCAATTGAAAATCAAAAACGAATAGGTTTGTTGAAGGAATGTATAGTAGAGTATGTATTTACGACTTTTCGGAACTAATTATGTTTTATCATCAGGCTTTCTGTCAATAACAAAATGCATAGATATTATAATGAACAATATAGCAGGAAAATTAAGAAAATATTTAAAATTTGGGGTAAATTAGAAATCTCTACAATGTAAAATTAACATTTAAAATTGTTTATTAAAATTGTCTAGCTTTATTCCTGTTACTGTATATACGTGGTCTGTTCAAAAAGTACCCGGAATTTTCGTTTTTTCAAAAAAAATATTTATTTATTCGTCTACATTAATGTGGTCCCCTTCAAAGTAGTCCCCCCCAGATATAATACACTTATGCCAGCGTTTTTTCCAATTTTCAAAGCACCCTTGATATTCACTTTTTGATATGTCCTTGAGCACTCTCAGCGATTTTCTTCAATCGAGGAAAACCGCCGTCCTTTCATGGGTCTCTTCAACTTTGGGAATAGGAAAAAGTCACACGGAGCCATATCTGGTGAATTTTTGCACTTTGCAACACTTTATTTCATTTTTTACGCAAAATTTAATACAAATTCTTTGACTTTTCAATTCTTCCATTGTAAAAATCGCCGAGCTCAGAAAAACACGTCGAACCTTAGCGACTACCACAGACAAAGTAAACAGTGAATATAGCTGAAAATTTCATCATACTTTAGGGGCATGTATACCAACACAATAAAAAAAAAATTTTGACAATCAGACACTCCAGACCCGCGAAATTTAATTATTAGTAATTCCAGGTACTTTTTGAACAGACCACGTATATTACTAAAATAGATGTGCAGAATTATATATTTATGTATGTGTGTTTCAGCTTACATTATCCTTTCCCAGGGAGGTCGTAAAAATATATGGCATAGAACTTGAACAAGTATTGTTGGAGGCTCTTTACAGCCTCGCTTGTGTTGAAATTGACATATTCTACAGAAATGAGCCATCAAGTAATGAAGTGTGCTCCTGTGATGCTCAGGTAGATCAGACACCAGACGCGAAAGACAAGCAATAAACTGGTCATCTTTGAGACCTAGAAATAATTCATTATTATCTTCAACTATATGAAAAATATAATTTATAAGCATTATTTAGATACAATTGAATTTTATATTTATTAAAAAAAAATCATATTCATAAATTATCCAATCCAATTTCTTATAAAATAAATAAAATCAATACTCACGCGATGCCTCCAAAAATCTATCATACCATTGAACTGGTATCACTGGATCAGGTAATTCCCTTAAAAACTTTTTGAGAATAGTTGCTACACAATATGGAGAAAAATCTGAAAATTCCACTTTACTGAGATCTTCATTGATTTTTTGCCTCAGTTCGGCAAGTTGATCTGAGGGCGGCATAGATCTATAAAGCTTGTAAAGATCTAGAGAATTGTTACTAATTGCTTTAGATTCTATTTCTTGTACACAGAGGATAACAAGTTTAGGTGCTGATAATTCCTTAGGATTAAATTGGCCACAAAGTGCCAATCCAAAAACTGAATTGAAACGGACATGTCGTTCTAATCCCGGAGATGGACAAGGTGACAGGTTCGTTGCACTACAAGTTCTATGGGCTACCAGTCCACAATCTTTACAAATAAAACCTTGATGAAGAAGTCCTCTAAGATATTTATTGCACTTATCACAACGTTCTAAAGTAGAAAAACTATGTTCTAGTAAACGGTGCGATGGGCCGTCTTTTTGATCGACTTGATCTGAGGCGGGAGAAATGGTCCTAATAGGCTGATTATTCTTACAAAGCTCTTCAATGCATGTTAGAATTGCTTTCTGATGAAATTCATCTTTAATTCCCATACTCTAAAAAATAACACATTTTAAATTAATAGTATATTTATCTGAAAGTGATGTTTTTTTCACTTAATCTTACCATTAGCTTCTCTTTATCTAAATTGACCAAATCAGTTCCTTTGATATCCTTAGATTTAAATACATCTGCATATCTATATAAGTTTAAGGCTGCCATCCATTCGATGACATTACTAGATGTCCACTCAACAATAGGCTAAAACAAACATATTTAGATTATTTATATTGATAATCATTATTAATATTAATTATTGCAAAGTTTGCATTCAACAAAAAGAATAATAAAAATATATTGATACTTTATCCGATATCGATTTATAGCCATCTACTAGTAGTATTACTAAAGTATATATACTTGATATTATTGTGTATGTTACGCATATTTGATTTATTTGTTATTCCGAATTTCTTGTTCGTTTTGCCGTTTTTAAAAAAGATTATGTAATAAAAAAAGGTTAGAAAATACTTCGAAAGCAACTATTAGTACATTTTGAAAAAAAAAAACACTGTCTTATAACTGCATATAAGAATAAGCAACCTTTTTAACTCTCGGGCCTCTTCAAAATTTTATGGCGGGCAGCACTTACTAAGAAATTACAAAGCTAGAGATATACTAATAAACTGTATAATATACTGATTAAACAAAAGTAAATATTTCCTAAATTAATGCAACAATAAAAAATACATTATAATTAATTTATTGATGGAAAGAAGTTGGTGGAATAAATAAAATTCAACTTTGGAAATGCTTGACGAGCCGCAGAAAAATATTTAAAGGGCCGCATGAAGCCCTACCCAACGCTTCATCACGAACTGAATCATTGTGTGTGTACCAAATAACGAGCGCCTTATAGGCTATATGTTAGACTTACGTTGTCCTCAAAAGAGGACCACCGAGCACAAAAGGTTAAAATTGCACGAGCGCACACACAGCTTTAGAATTATAACATAATCATGTTAACAAAATATATCTGAAGTAATATTTATAATTCGTATATACAAACTTATGAGAATATCGAAGGCGATTGGCAGAGTATCGAGATGTGGTGCAGAATTCATTTTAGAGATATAGTTTCTTCGACAAAGTATCTTATTTTAATCCCTAGTATACAAAAATCATATGTATATATATATATATATATATATATATATATAGCATAAATGAGTTTTTTTTTAAAAAAAAACATACATCTGCAAAGCGTGAATAATTAATTGTCAGACTATTTGATAACTATCGGGAACTATAGTAGTAGCACTCTATAAACATCGGACACGTTGACCAACAAATTCGATAACCTTTGAACTAATATATTATTTTTGTTTTAATTTTGATATATTGATGACTGCGTTTGCAGAGTTATAGATGGATTTAATACTAAATCGTAACCTCTAAATTTTACATGTATGTACATATCTTACGTTATGTTGAAGTTAATTTTTTATAGACCGGTATGTCATGCCGTTGTGTTCTTACATACTTTTTACCAGATAACTATTGCAAGATATCAGCAAGTACACCGATGACCATAAAATTGAACCCATATTTAATAAATACTAGAAAATAAGAGATTGCATTTAAATTCTTGTTGCACTAAATTACCTCTTCTATCAAATGTAATTTTATACTACTAACGCCAAAAGCAAGTTGAAGAACAGATTTAATGATAACAGTTGAAAAGTATTTCTGCCTTTCCTTAAACCCACCTCCTACAAAAACCCTTTCATTAGTAAAATAATTTGTTTCATTTATACGTTTTGATTACATTTTCAAAATACAAAAATGTATATTTTAATGTAATAAATCTACTTCATTATTACTGTATTAACTTACATAATTAAATATAATATATAATAATAAAAGTATATACATATAATCATGTTATACAGTAAAAGAACTGAGCAAAATGAAAATTATTTGTGTATTAATTATTCATAGATACAAGTGTTCTAAACAGGTCGGTTATTAATGAAAGTTTTAAAGCTTTTCATATAGGCTCTAATAGAAATTAATGCAAAAAAAATTAAAAACTTCTTTATCGTTCCTTTGGTGAAGCAAATTTGAAGTTACTTTCAACAAATTGATTTGATAACACAACGACGCGCAAAGTGTTTATTACTGAATTGAAAAAGTTGTGACTTTAAACAGTAATGTATAATATATATATATATATATATATATATATATATATGTGTGTGTGTGTGTGTGTGTTGAGGCAACTATATCTGTTGTCAAACATTCATCGTATACACTAATATGTTTATGTTTTAGATGATTAATAAAGTTTTAGTGCAGAATTTGCACAAAATTTATCAGCTCTCTCTTTATGAAAAATTCCCGTGCTATGCTCGATTTATTGGGAACTAATTTTAAGAACCAATTCCTTAAAAACAATATCCCATTACGCATAACAAAAGTAAATTAATTATTATTGATTCAATGAAGTATGAAAATTATAAAATAGAATTATTAATTCATAATTTTTCAATTTGTATCAACTAAATCGTATTAAAATAAATACGTATTATAAGAGTATTCTAGTGTAGTACCTGAATTTTAGGTCATTTTTAAATCATCGTAAAAAAGGTAATCAATTTTTATACTATTATCTTTTTTATAATTTCTTTCTCAACGTTATAAGAGTACAGAATAACTAGTGGGGCGCATGGCATCGTGCCTTAAAGCAAATTGTTGGAATTTCATGTACCAAAAATTATTTTTTTAAAAAGATTAACATTTTTGAAAAAAACTAACTCTGAAAAAAATAGATTTTTGAGAAACTATAAATTTTTGAACAAGGTTTTTTTCTATGAAAAAAAAACTTTGAAAATAAATTAATTTCGAAATATTTTGGAAATTCTGAACTTTTTTTCAAAGCAATCGTACTGCTTTAACTGCATAGAGACGAAATTACGAAGCGCCGCGTCGCCGTCTAACGGATAAACATTGGTACGGAACCCATAGGAAAGTAAACAAAATTTATACTTATTGTTAAAATCTCTATAAAATATCTGATAATATATGATGTGCATATGTCTAATGATCATTTTTGACCGCTAAATGGCATTTTTTTTACTTTTTTTACTAGATCTCCGAAACCGCTAGACCTGCCTTCATGAAAATTGGATCAGTTCTTCATCTTGTTAATAAAAGTAAAATGTTTTTTGAATTATTCAAATCGGACGCTCCGTTATCTTAAAAACTGAGTTACCGTTTTTGGCACTTTTTGTCCCATATCTTCGGAACGGCTAGGCCTGCCTTTGCCAAAAACTAATCAGCACGTCTCTTTATCAATACGAATCGAATGATTCAAATCGCTTCATCGAAATCGTCGACGAAAATTTGTATCCGCACACATACACGCACATACACATACGCATACACACACATACATATACGCATACACATACACACACATACATCCATTTTTTCAAAGGTATGCCAAAATGATCAGAAGGGTTTGAAACGTAAAGATATATAAAAATTTTCATTTTCGATTTTTTTGCGGTTACTATAACTTGCCCTACGGGAAAAGTTAATACAAAATATATACAAAAAAGTTAATAACTTTAAAAATTAGCAGAGGTTTTAAAAGGGGTCTCAAAAAGTTGATATGTGACCATGCGCACAATTGCAACCCTCCTAGTAATCCAAAATGAAAGAAAAAGAAAAGATTATTAATCTACAATGATGTCGCAACGGTATATACTGAGATTAAGTCAAAATATAAATTTTTGACAAAACGGTGACTGTTCTAAAAAAAGGATCAATTTCTTACCCCTTTTTTGAGATTCTGGAATTTTTTAAAAATAGTAAAAAATAAAATTTGGAAATGGGACTAATACGAGGTCTGTTCAAAAAGTACCCGGAATTTTCGTTTTTTCAAAAAAATATTTATTTATTCGTCTACATTAATGTGG